AATGATTTTTTTTGTAACGCTTTAGTAACGAATTTACAATGCTTTGTAACGAAAAATTTTGTTGGAAAGTGTTGCAAATTTGTTGTTAATGCATTGCTAAATTATTAAAAAAATCATTTTATACCTTGTTTTGCAATGCTTTTGTAATCCAAAAATTTCGTTGCTAACATGTTTGCAATAAAACTTCGTTGTAAAAACTTTCATTTCATAACTGAGATGATTTGACAGTCGTAGAAAATACAAAATTTTGTAATGAAATTTCGTTGTTAATTAGTTTTGCAACAAAATTTCGTTGTTAATTTGCAATGCAATCCGATTAGCAACACAATTTTCATTGCAAATTTGTAACTCAATTTCGTAGCAAAACCAATTAGCAACGAAATTTCGTTGCAAAATCAAAGATAAATTTATGGTCACGGTTGGCTTGGTTTTATTGTCTTTTGCAATGAAGTTTCATTGTTAATAAGTTTTACAACGAAATTGCATTGCAAATTAGCAACGAAATTATGTTGCTAATCGGATTTGTAACAAAATTGTGCTGCTAATCGGATTTACAACGGAATTGCGTTGCAAAGTTTTTTCTATATTTTCAACATCCAACACAATTCAAACACAATTCAAAAACAATTTCTCACTCTAAAAATTATCTAAAATATCTCTCTATCCTCAACTCTAAAAAAAATCAAATAAAAATATATTTTATTATTTTTATTAAATATTTATTTATCAATATTGTTTGGTAATTATTTATTTATAAATGTTAATTTACAACTCTTAAATAAACTTTATAATTCTACAAATATATATATTTTTATTATCTTTATTTAATATTTAATATTTATTTAATATTTATATTTATTAATATTTTTTGTTAATTAATTATTTTTTAAATTTTAATTTTAAGTCTTTAAAAATCCTGAAATTCTGAATTTTTTATATTAATTTTAGCAACGAAATTGTGTTGCAAAATTAACAACGAAATTTCGTTGCAAAATTAGTAACACAACTTTTCCGTTGCAATGTGTTGTAATTTGTAACGAATTGATACGATGTATTGGTTTATAACGACGAGTTAGTAACAAAAATGTTTTCGTTGTAAACTCTGTCTTGTAATGAAAATTTTCATTAATAAAAGACTGTTTTTTTATACTGAGAGGATGACGCGTGACATATTTATAAGAATTAAATACAGTAGCATATTTCTAAGAATTTAATGCAAAAAGTCTTCTATGAATAAATTTGTAAACGTGTTAATTGTTGTGAATATTTAATATTTTTCTTCCTCATAATCTTTAGTCATAATTGTCTTTATTAATTATAATTATTTTAGTTATAATGAGTTTGAATTCGTTGACCAATAATAACTTTAATTAAGAAATTATCAACTATAAATAGACCCGCTGCAATCATCAATTCTACGAAAGTTAGACAATGTATTTTTGAGCAAATAATCTATTTAAATTTTGTTATATTAATTTCATATGTATCTAGTGTATATGTTTATACATAGAAAGTAAAAAAATTTGGTGCACCCATCTAAATATCTCTCATGTAGCATTTTGTTTAGTTTTCATTAATTTATATAAAACAAAATATTTATCTACTAATTACATTCTTTATATTTTTAAACATGATCATTCCAATAACTTTTATGTGTAAGTACATATATTATTATATTTAACGATTATTTCTGTAACGACCGGCGACCGCTATGAATTATCGAAACTACCCTCACACAGCAACACGAGACCCTTCAGCGTGTTTTGTCCTCACAAGCACGCATACTGAGATATTTTCCAGTAGATTGCCCATCCTGAAATTGCTCTAGAATCAACACACTTAACTTTAGAGTTTTCTCAGTATAGTTAACCGAAAAGGTTGATGCACCTTGTTACTATTAGTAGCTCAACAAATCCTTTTATGTTATCTTAGACCATATAGTCCAATTCCAATATAGCCATCGGATTTCTCTCATTCGGGTGCGTTCGATTCATTCTTGTATCTACTAATTACATTCTTTAATGGTACTCGGAGAGCCGCTCCTTGAACATGCGAACACTCCTAACCCTCATCGTAGCTCAGACAGAGGAAGACTCTACTGCAATCATGCCAATCCAAGAAGAGAAAGTTTGATCTATCAGCAACAAGAAGGAAACTTAATCTTCTGTAATATATGCAGATTGATTTTACTTGATTTCTTTCCAAGTCTATGAATGATCATATACGCTATATGTATGCTCTGTTCTCAGACCTTGCTGATAAGAGAAAAAAAATTCTTTCTTCCAAAACTTTCTCATACAAATCTAAAATTCGGACTAGACATCCCTAATGGATTAAATCCATTGGTGCATAATGCTAGATATACGTTTCTTGACTCAGTTGCAAAATCAGGAAATATCTATTAAAAGTGTTTCCAAGCCAAACCATCAGATGGATTGTGCATTTCTCCATCAGGCGTCAAATGCTCGCCATGCCACCACATATGCGATGTTGTCATCTCGGATTGATATAACCTTTTCAAACGATCGGTTATAGGCATGTAAAACATTCTCTTCAAAGGAATTAACTTGCCTTTCTTTGAAGCGATCCGACGTGGTCGATATCTGTCTTTCCCGCAGAACGACATTCCATCAATTCTGCATTTTCTTTCCAGAAAATCATACAGTTGTCTTCACAAACATCAATCTTTCGGTAAGGTAGACCCAACGTACGCATCAGACTCTTCATCTCATAATATGATTATGTTGCAGTGTTACCTTCTGGGAGATATTGCTTAAACATCTGACTGAATCCATCCATGCATCTCTCTAAAAGATTGTAGTCAGTCTTCATACTCATCAGTTGCGAAGACAACGATAATCTTGAAAGCCCTTGTAAGCAACCTTCATATATCGGAGTGTTCGCCTATAAAGCATGTCATAAAATATTTTCGCTTCAACATTTGGCTCTTCCTCCATATACGGAGAAGGAGCAATGTTGAAAAATGCACCATTCACCATCTCTGCATATGGATTCCTTTCTTCTTCTTGAAAGATTGCAGGTTACGCCGTATTTTGTACAAGTTGTTCTTGCATTTGTGGAACATGTGATGATGATGTATCATACGTTTCTCCATGAGCCAGCCAAACAAAATAATTTGACATAAAACCTCTTCTATACACGTGCTTCCACATTCATATTGAGCTCGCCATCTTTTATTCTTGCATATTGAACACGGATATAGTAACTTTAAACTCTCAACATACGACGTTTGACTTGTTGCAAACGCCATAAAATGTTGTAATCCTTCTTCAAACTCACGCGAGATTTGATTATTATTAGAAGAATCAAATCTATTATACATCCACATTTTGGAAGAGAAAGACATTTTTTTTGGAAACCAATATTTTTTTACATCTCGAGCAATGCAGACACGGTTGGTTTGTAGGAAAGACACTGCGAAAGATTTGCGACAGATAATTTCTGTCGGGACATAATTGTGACAAAATCCCGACAGATTAGCGACAGAAGTTAGGTGGCACACAAATCACGTGCCTAACTAACTTCGCGACGCACCTCAACTGTCGCAATTGTGTCGCAGATTTTTCGCGACACACTGATTCTGTCGCAAATGTATCGTATATACATTACGTCAGATACTTCTATAACATAGTGTGTCGTAAAATGTCCGTAGCTTTCTATCGTTTATCTGTCGCAAATATTTCCGACAGAAAAATGTGTCGGTAACCGTCGTAATATTGCAATCGTTTTTGCGTCCGATTGCGACAGAAGTTCGATTTCATTATTCTGTCGTTGTTTAGTCGTCATCTATCATAAATTATTGCGCGACGGATTATTCTGTCGCAACGTCTATCGCAAATAACAGTTTTTCTTGTAGTGTCAAAATCAAAAGGGTTATCATTGTTTTCATCCTCCTACACGTCGCATTTACACCTCACGTGATGTTCGATTCCTTGAACATGAGTCCTACTTTAAGTCTTCAAATGACTCTTCTGCCTTGGAAGAACTCACATCCTCTGCTCCGAGTTATAATCAATCAGTTTTCAGATTGTTGTCTGATACTCATCGCTCTTCTGCCAACCTCTGAGCCGTTGCAACATGTTCTCGATCCATACCTAGAAGCCCCTCAGTAAGGTCTTTTGAACCTCATAATCTTGTTTATTCTGAAGATTTTTTAGTAGATGACACCGCAGAGTTACCAGTCGCAACTCCACCTTCAGATGTTCACTCTACACCTCCCGAAGACTCTGATGTTCCTGAGCTTTCTTCTGACTCTGCTTCGGCACCTGGCCCTGTCCCACCTCAGCACAGTGAACATCTACACTCCAATGCCCTTAAACGCCAAGCTGATGGTTCTGGTCCTTATCACATACTTATTGAGAACCACCGACAGGCTGACCTTGCTATTGTACCTTCTACTTCACTTTCTTCTGCTGATTTATGCTCTTCATCTACACTTACTTGTTCATGAGATTTCTTTTCTCGACCAAATTGATCAGGATCATGAATCAACATGCTACACTCACACTAAAACTCAAAAGGTCTAGCGCGACGCAATGGCAGCTGAACTTGACGCTTTGGAGAAGAGTGGCACTTGAGACATAACAGATCTTCCTCTTCAGAAACAAGCGATCAAAAGCAAATAGGTTTGTAAGATTAAACGTCGCAGCGATGGCACCATAGAACGCTACAAAGTGTGACTCGTTGCTAAGGGATACATGCAAACTTATGAAGAGGATTACAACGATACATTCACCCCTGTTACTAACCTTAAATCTTTTCGAGTTATACTTTTAACCTGCATTGGGATCTTTGGCAAATAGATGCTAAAAATGCATTTTTATAGGGTGATTTCGAATAGGAGATTTACATGGAACCTCCACCTGGTCTTCGTGATCAACTCCCAAAGAACAAAGTATGTCACCTTCGCAAAGCGCTCTATGGTTTGAAACAATCACCCTGAGCCTAGTATTCCCGTTTACACACTGCTCTCTTAGATAATGGCTTCTCCCAAAGTGAGTCTGACCACTCGCTTTTCACCAAACGAACACCACACGGTATTATCATCGTCTTAGTTTACATTGATGACATAATTCTGTCAGGAGACGATTCTGCTGGAATTTGCGAAACCAAAGCTTTTCTGCATTCTCAATTCGACATTTCGGAACTTGGTACCTTACATTACTTCCTTGGTATCGAGATCCTTAGAACTACTAACAATTTATTTATGTCACAGAGAAAGTATATGCTGGATCTACTTCGGGACACAAGAAAACTCGCATGCAAACCTACGAAGACCCCCCTTGAATTAACTTACAAGGATCATAGTGAGGGGGAATCGTTTCCCGACATAGAACAATACCGGAGAGCTATAGGTAAGTTGATTTACTTAACTAAAACTCGATCTAATATATGCTATGTTGTCAATCAGGTCTTTCAATGGTTGGGTGCATTCTGAGATATCTTAAAGGAACTCCCACCCATGGCCTATGGATGCTCTGCAACAATGCAACGAACGTGACTGCCTATTGCGATGTTGATTGGGAAAGGATCGTTCTGATCGATGTTCTACCTCTGGCTTCTGCACTTTCGTCGGTGGAAACCTCGTCACTTGGAAGAGCAAAAAAGAGAATGTTGCCTCCCGTTGAAGTGCAAAAGCTGAGTACCATTCGATGGCCAACATAGTCTCGGAGATGTTATGGCTTCAAGGACTTCTTGTCGACCTCGGCTGCTCTCCATCTACACCGATGCCCCTACACTGTGACAATCAGGTTGCTTTCCACATAGCTGCAAATTCCGTCTATCACGAGTGCACAAAACATATAGAACTCCACTACCATTTCATCCGCGAAAGGATTAGCAATGGCACCAACTCCACCATTTTCACCAGGAGCTCTGGTCAAGTCGTAGATATCTTCACCAAGACTACCAGCTCTTCCACTTTGCAGCTCTTCCTTCGCAAGATTGGTCTAGTTGACAACCTCAGACCAATCTTGAGGGGGAATGATACGACGCACAAGGAAAGTAATGCAGATCTCGGACCAAATTAGACATAGGAATACTCGACTGCAATCATGCCAATCCAAGAAGAGAAAGTTTGATCTACCAACAACAAGAAAGAAACTTAATATTCTGTAATATGTGCTGATTGATTTTACCAGATTTCTTTCCAAGTTTATGAATGATCATACACGCTATGTATGCCCTATTCTTTGACCTTGTTGAATAAGAGAAAAAGAATTCTTTCTTTCAAAACTCTCTCATACAAATCTAAAATTGTTCAACCCTCATCGTAACTCGGGATATGACAGTTTTATTCATATGAAACTAATGAATATATATATATATTCATTATTTATCAAATTAAATCCATTGTAGGAATCGAAAAATCAGATTCACCCAGTGGTATAAACCATGTAAGATTGGATCAGATGAGTACACATCATAATTATCGGTGTATTATAGTCATATTTCTAAGGATATGAGATGAACGAAATCCTTTCAATGGGAATGAGTTCATTGACATCGGATTCTTATTAACTGATGAAAATGTACGTTCTGGTTAGCATTTATTTTATTATGCTATGATTATCAAAAATCTAATCTATTTGACTTACAATGTTGTAGGAGAATGTTTTCTGAAAGAAAAATATTTTAGAACCACGTAGAAAAATTTTAAAATATAATAAACGGGGGAGATGTATTTTTAATCAGGCAATTCAAGATTCTACCAAATAAAAATATATACAAATTAACGAACAATAAATTTTGTATTTATTTTACGGAATATACTATTGTTGAAAAGATTGTTGTCACTGCTTATAGTATTGCCAAAGAGAAATTTCGAATACGTTTATACGACGATTTGTTGATATTGACAGACAAAAAATAAGATCTATCAGGTATGAGATATTATAAAAAAATCAAAAAAACATTGGATTTTATAATTAATATATTCTCTAATGATACAATTATTATTGGAGTTTTAATCGCAATAAAATGATCAAATTTACGAATGTTGACAATTAACTCAAAAAATTATTCTCCGTTTATTATTGAAAGAGTAAGTTTTCAAATTTTATTTACATTGTAAGCAATATCATCTTAAAAAACTTTAACTTAATTAGTTTTATGCAAACTAACATATAATTTCAATATAAAAACCAACAACAATATTATCAAGTTTTTTCGTATGGGATGATCTCGCTGCACAACTCCGTTCACAAATACATAGATTGAATATTAGAAAAAGTAGTATAGTCGTTACGGGTGTAAATCCAAAGATTATCGACGATAATTATTTAACACAAATTAATTTCTAAATATTTGATAGATTAATATTTAAAACCATTATCATATTGTTATATTGAGTTCACTAATACATTTTATGCATAAGTTGTTAAAACCATTATCATATTGTTATATTGAGTTCACTAATACATTTTATGCATCATTTATTTTTCGCTCAATACATCAATGTATACAAAGATTTTCATAGATGAAAAACTCAACATTATCACAAATTTATGTCTAAGGTAAATATATCATTCTTGAAAAAGTCTTTACTTATAATATTTACCAAAATAATTTTTATTATTATCTTACAACTGAATTTTTGGCAGACATTAAAGAAAAACCACACTAGTGCTAAAGACAACCATAACAAATTGGTTACATTGAATCGGTAAAATATCTATATAGTGATATCAATATTCTGTCATTGAACTAATTCTGTTTGCAAAAAATATAATGATGTTTTTATATTATTAAAGTTTTCTATTCATATTTAATTCAACTCAAACAACTTATCTATCTTAGTTTTTTGCTATATTCATATTAACAAATTAAATACAAAATAATAAACACATAATGTTCATATCATACATGTACAACTCAAAATAATGAGAAAATCTTTGTCAGATATACAAAGCAAAACCTTAAAAAAAATAACTTTTGTATTAATCTAAGTGAAAAATACTTGAACTTATAATTTGGTGTAATATTAATTCGTGAACTCGTAGGTGCACCTATTTATTTCCGAATTTTCATTTTTGAACAAATAATTCCTAAATTTGCTTAACAGTTCTATAATTGTCCATACCACTAATTGATCAAATCAAAGTTTATAAATTACTGTGTTAAAAAATGCAAGTTTAGAAATTATTGTGCTGAAAAATGCAAGTTCGAGAATAACTAGATGCACCTACAAATTCATAAATTAATACTACACCAAATTACAAATTCAGAAATTTTCAAGTATTTTTTTCTTAATCTAAATATTGGATTTCTAATACAAAACCAAAATTACCTTGTTATTTATAATAATATTTGCTTATTTTCATCAATCATATTTTTAAAATACGCTAAATGTGCCAAAAATATAACTCTTTCATCGTATAAATTTTTAAAAATATTATTGCAATATTATATATTCCAACCATGTAATGTCGTACTATCTTCGCAATTTCTCTTCAAAAAAATATAATATTTTAATATCTTCATATTTAAAACATTTTATTTAAAAATATAAAAAATAAAGATATTTTATTTATTTTTTAAAAACTTATAATTCACAAGGAGCTTAATAATGGCATATGTGGAAATATAACTGATATGAAATCTCTTATATATAAGATTATAATATTATCAGTAAATTCTTTCATAATCCTATCGATAAAAGTCGAAATTACAAAAAATATTTATGTATAGAGCAACCATAAATAGTATATAAAGGTGTACAATTAAAATTATTATAAAAAAAGTTTAAGAAACATCTAAATGACAAAGTTGTTATATTACTCTGGATATGAATTTAGAAAGAAATAATTAAATTAATTTTTTCACCTCATATAATAGATATGCAAAAAACAAGTAAATAGCTAAAATTAAATTCATTTTATGTTTTAAGAGTGAATAGTCATCATGATTTACGAGAACTTAGAATAAGATGATTGAGCACAATATTGTAACAACTCTTTTATTATTATTATTATTACTATTATTATTATTATTATTATTATTATTATTATTATTATTATTATATTATATTATTATTATTATTATTATTTGTAGTAGTAGTAGTAGTAAATTTTGGCATGAATATTATTTTTGGCATGATGGAGTTCAATACGGGTTGATGAATCAATAATATTATGATAAAATATACATAACACAAAAATCTAATATAATCTTAATTTTATATTTTTTAAGAAAAAATTAGCAAATATTAGTTTAAAAAAAATAATATAATGACTTAGACTTTAATAGAATAAATGAAACAATCACATGATTTGTATTGTATATATTAATTTGATTTAATTAAATAGATATCTGTAAAATTTTAAAACTGGTTGTAAAATATAGGTTTTATATTAGATCAATGTTTTATAGTGAAAATTTATTAGTCTGAATATATTATTATTAATTTTTAATCAAAACAAAATTTATGTTATTATTTATAACATTATTTGTTTATTTTAATCAATCACATTTTTTAAATTTCCATCGTCTGTTAAAAATATAAATCTTTCGTCGAAAAATTTCTAAAAATCATTTTGATGTTCTACATTTTCAAACATACAATATTTTGTTATCTTCACAATTTTTTTTTAAAAAAATACAATATCCGTTTACCTTTAAATTTAAAAAAATAATTTAAAAATATAAAATAAATAATATTTAATTTAATTTTAAAAATAATAAGATTTTTTAAAAAATTATTTATTTTTTAGTCTACGTGATGCACAGAGATTATTATCTAGTAAATATAAATTTGAAGAAAATATCATTTTTATTTTAACCTTTATTTATTTTTTTAAAAACCATTACTCCAATCAATTTTTTACATAATTATTATTCATTATATTATTGTATAAATAAATATGATATTATATAAATTAGTTATAATGCAATTTTTTTATTAATTTAAATTCAATATTAAATTAATTTTATAATTGTTGAAATATATCAATATATCAATAATAATTAAATAATTTATTTAAAAATTGAAAATGAATTGTATTTATTTTTAAAACCTAAATTTATTCTTATATTTAATAAAGAAAAACGTTACAAAATTTATTGATTATATTTAAATAATTCTTTATTATAAAAATTAATAATTTTTAAATTCATTAATAATTTTATTAATAGTTTTTTATTAAATATTTTTCATAATAATATTTTTAGTATAGAAATTTATAATTTTATCAATATAATTTCGTATAATGTATATTTGAGATGGTCCCACATGCAACTACATAAAAAAAATCATTTGCTAACAAAAATATGTCTGACAGGGACGCGATAAATATCTTTGTCGATTTTTTCAATGACTTAGGAGAATTGTAAGAGAATATAAATTAAAACTAAAAAAACCAAAAAAAAAAAAAATAAGAACAAAAACTAAATAACTATCTTATTATTCTTCAAAAATGAAATTTCGACGCAATATTGTGATAAATACAACATATCATCATCATCATCATCACCATCATCTTCATCTTCAACTATCATATTTCACGAAAGCTAAAAACACTGCAACCAAACGATTTGCGAAATAAAACCTTATTATATTATTCATTCAATCAAATAACACATATATAGACATAGATATAGAGTAAACTTAATCCTACTATGAAACTATAAACTAGTTTTATTAGGACACCAACACTAATCCTAATAATAATATAATTTTATAAAAGATAATCCTAACTCTCTATAATTCCCAAGAAATTGCGATTGAATTATAAATATTATGACCAAAAGTACTTTGATTTCATCCGATCAAAAGACCTTTAAAGTGGAGCAAAGGGAATTAGTATACTTTGGTATCGAAATTATCTAATAGCCCTTGCCTAGACTAGTTTATATTATCTCTTTTAATCCACATAAGATTTTGATAATTTTTTATATTATTTTATGTCATATGCTGATTACCGTTGATTAATTATCCTAATTAAGCCAGTTTCCACGTCATAATTGTATCACAAAGGTTGACTAGCTACGTGCGTTTCCTTTGGTTAGTGATGTGAGCCAAGAATACTTATTT